AAAATGCTTCCAGTTAAGAACCCTGTTGCAAAAAGGAGGGCAGAAATACTTATACATACCTTCCTTTAACCTTTCCTTTCTCCCAGAGGATTCTTAGCTCTGTGTCATGTAGCTCACCTAACAGCAATATGCTGAAAATCGCACGCATTCTCTCTTAGCGCTGTGTCATCAATATCAGTAGTGTTTTTTGTGGCTGTTGTTTTCTGGGTTTGTTCTTTTTTTGGTAGCAATGCTTATTTGACTAGACTGTGTTGCTTCTTTCACTCTTCAGGTCACGAAAAAGGCTTCTGTATGATGTGTACATTGGAAGCTCACGTTAACCAGGCCCTGTGTTTCTCTAATAATGCTATCAAACCTATATCTGTTATCAATGGCCTTAAAAGTAAGTCATTTCAGATGGTTTTCTTTTGATATATTGGGTAACTTCAAAGCACTCTCTGATGCATAGAAATGATTTTGATACTTTTAGAAACGTGAGTTTTCTTTCATTTTCTAGGAGATAAATATAACCACCTTCTTATTTATTAGGTATAGGAGAACATTTCTGTTACGGCAGTCAAGAGGATGCACATGAATTCTTGTCCTTCACTGTTGATGCTTTGCAGAGAGCTTGCTTGAATGGAAGCACCACGTACGCATAAACGAATTATTTAACCCTTAGATGTTCTCTAGCCCCTTTTACTCCTTTCTTTACTATACTACATTAAAATGACTGTCCTTGGTAAAAACTGTTTGAAGAGTTAACTCTGAGCCTTGTATCATCTGAGGCCTGATTTATCATTTCTTTCCAGATGGGACACATCTTCTCAAGCCACTACACTTATTTATCAAATATTTGGAGGATACCTAAGATCCCGAGGTACTTGTTACAATTCTTCCTGTCCTTTGAACTGGTCTGTGTCTGTTTGTCTGTAGTAAAGGACTTTGTGCTTTGACTAAAGTAAAATGTATGAAGACTCTAAATTTGTCCAGTCAGTGTTAAGCATTTGTATTCTGATTCCAGTAAAATGCTTGAACTGCAAAGCCGTTTCGGACAGGCACGAGCCATTCCTCAGTATTACTTTGGATATAGAGGTAAGGTGTTTTGTGAATACGGCTCGAGCTGCATAAGGACCTGTAGAGCTTTCCAGATAAAGGCATTTTACTTAAAAATATACACTGCTAAAAGGAAAGAGCTTGGTGTTGAGTGGGAGTGGATTGGGCTTTGGTCTTGTGTGGAAGGCATCTAGATGCTCTCCATGTTTGCAGTGGGTTTAACCTGTAAAAACAGTAATCACATCTACACAAACACCTATACCCTCACACTTCTCTGTTATTCTGCTTCAGCATCTATAAATCTATCGTTAGGCTGATGGGTTTGCTTGTTCTCATTATTGATGCCGTAGCATAGTACAGATGGTGTCTGTGGCACTGCAAACTTTATCCTTTTATTTCAAAGTAGCATCATTTCCACAGGAGGTAAATGCTCAGCGTACTCTGAGGTTTCTGCCTCCTTCACGGTGGTTGCCGGTTGACAGTAGGTCACTTGAGGATGAGCTAGCAAGGTTCTCTCGTTAACTACCAGGAAGTGTTTGAAATTCTGCATTTCCGGTGACTTAGTGCTCTACCTTCTTATTCATCCAGACCGTTACGTCTCTCACTGCGGCTCTAGAACAGTTTGTGAAACCTGAACAACTGGACGGAGTAAACAGCTATAAGTGTAGCAAGTAAGATTCCTACTAATTCCATCTGAGTCCAAGAGAAGGCGTTTAATGTGTCACGTGAATATTTGGAAATAGAAGAATTGTGGCCATTAGCTCATATTAGACTTTTATTCCTACTGCTGCCTACGCTGGGGTTTATTAGCCTTCGTCAGTGTGAGGTTGCACACAGAAATATTCTTCTGGCCAGAAGTTAAAGGGGATGTCTGCTAAGTAGGGGTGAGCTGAAGCACGGAGCTAAGGACAACGATTTGGGGTGGGAGGCAACATCAGCTGGCTGAAGGTCCTAGTGTTCCGTGTGAAAGGATAATGTTCTAAGTCCTTTGTTTTGTAGAGCTGTCCGCTTACATGCTGTTACCTTCTGTCTATTAACAAACGTGAAGCGCAGCATATGGGTTCATAAGCCTGTGCGAGAGATGAAAACTTGTTTGAGTTTTGGGAGGGGGAAGAATTTGCTGTTAAACATTTGTCTGTGCTTGTTTTTAAGGTGCGAAAACATGGTTCCTGCCTCCAAGAGGTGCACGATACATCGCTCCTCCAAAGTTCTCATCGTATCACTGAAAAGATTTGCAGATTTTACTGGTGGCAAGATCAACAAGGTATATTTGCAGCTGTAAAGCAGCTTTATCTTCTTGGAATGGGTGATTTCCCCAAGAAAATATCATTTTAAACGGGGGAAGTTTAGATTGGATATAAGGAAGAAATTCTTTACTGTTAGGCTGGTGAGGCATTGGAATGGGTTGCGCAGGGAAGTTGTGAATGCTCCATCCCTGACGGTGTTCAGGGTCAGGTTGGGCAGAGCCTTGGGTGGCATGGTTTAGTGGGAGGTGTCTCTGCCCACGGCAGGGGGGTTGGAACTAGATGATCTTAAGGTCCTTTCCAACCCTAACTATTCTATGATTCTACGGTTTAAAAGTTGTTAATGTTTGCAGGCTGTAAGTGTAATAACAATAGTCTAAGAAAAGTCAATCTAACAACTATGGCTTACGGTAACCATAAGAGTATACCTCACTCTTAGAGTTAATTCTGCAGAAAACAGTTCTCTGCAGCTTCAATTATGAAATATTGTTTCTGAGAATAGGTATTTTTAAATGAATCAAGACTATATTTGTGTGATCCTAGCCTGTGTTTTGAGAAGGGTTTTTGTCAGGCTGTTCCATGAAGTGTTTCAGGGTAATTTTTGAATCTTCCTGGTTTGTGTTTAGGATGTGGAATACCCTGAATATTTGGATCTTCGAGCATATATGTCCCAGTCAAGGGGAGAACCACTCATGTATTCTTTATACGCAGTTCTTGTTCATTCTGGTTTCAGCTGCAATGCAGGACACTATATCTGCTTCATAAAGGTGGGTATCAGCTTGATTTCTAACAGGGTAAAATAAACAAAGAAAATCAATGTTACCGGCAACCACCATTTTGATGGAGAAAGGTTGAATGATGTGTTCCGTTTGATTTGTTTGGTACGTTTCGTGCTGTAGTGTTCCGCCTGTGATGTCATTTGGACATCATGCATTTTGTCTGAAGACGCCACTGTCTTTTGTTTGCAGGCCGGCAATGGGTTTTGGTATCGAATGAATGATGCCATAGTGGAGCGTTCCGATATCAAAACGGTTCTCAATCAGCAAGCTTATTTACTTTTTTATATCAGGTAATACCAACTACTGAATCTGTTCAGAATATATTTACTTTCCTGTTACTGATACTTTTTTTCCAAGTGTTTTTCTTTCTGTCCTAGGAAAAGTTTACTGTTTCTGTAATTCAGTTCTGTCTAACCTGAACTTACCGCTGTCGTTTACTGTCTTTCATTGCTTGGCCTTAAACTGGTGTGCTTGTGTACATTGCTCTGTATCCGCTCTAAGTAGCGGGGTAATTTAGAAGAGGAGAAATAACACCGTAGATGGCATAAGGGTGAGATGTTGCTCTGACAAGAATAGTCATTGTAGGGAGACCATTGTCTGTTTTTTTAGTTTGTAGTCTTGGTTGAGTCTTTTGTATGTGGCTTCTGTGTCACGTCATCTGTTCTTATAAAATTACAGATGGGGTTTTAATCCAAGAATAGATTGAAAGAAAAACTCTAAAGTGATATCACTGCTTTTTTCTCAAGGCGCTACGATTTGACAGTTGGAGAACGTGGTTTTTACTTACCAGCAACTTCTTATCCCCATTCATTCCTTGGTCAGCGGGGGCCTAATAGTAAGCAGGCTGGATTTATGGGAGCACGGCTTCCTCCTCGTATGATTAAGGTAATTTGCAGGGAGCAAATAATAGCACCAAATTGATAATGTTGTTTTCTTTTGAGGGGGGTGGGGGGTGGGGGTGGGGGTGTAGCTTGTTGTTTTAGAGCATCTGATGAATTGTTTTCCCTCCCACACTGCAGCTTTCTTCACAACCATCATGCAACAGCCAGAATTTCACCTGAGATAGTACTTCATAAGTTTCATAAATATACTGGGGGGGAAGGGGTGATGTGTGAGATAGCAATGGTGCATGTAAGGCAAAGTGATCTTGTTTAATAACTAATGAGGAAATTTTGAAAACAGTTTTCTTCTAAAGGTGGTATTTTTTTGTCTGTTAACGTCTGCGTTTTAATTGTAGATACCTGTAGCTGAGTCACCGATTCCTCAAGAAATAGTCTTAGAATCCCTGGCCTACAGCCACCTGAACAGGTTGGCAGAGAAAACAAGGTAAATTGAGTACACTCTGATGAAAACAAGATTTCATACAAGTTTATCATTGTTTTACCCATCTACTAGTACTATTTAATAGAAAGCTTTACACAGTACAGCAAATTCCACACTGTATGTGTAGGGTTGCAGACATCAGCACTGAACATGTGTTATTCTGATATTAATGAAAGCAGATGCCTCCCAGAATGGTTCTGTTTCTTCATAGGATAATTTTACTTTTTTTTACAATTGGATTTCTTTTCCAATGTAAATTCCCACCTCGTGCCCTCCCATTTTGTGGAGAGAAGGGAAATGAATGAGTTGACTTTTTTCTAGTTTGGGGAGAGCAAAGGTAGTGGTTTTGGCTACTGATGCGATGCAGAGCAGTGAGCAGAGGGAGACAAATGTGTTGGGTGTGGGTTTTAATGTACTACTTGCAAGCTCAAGAGAAGAAAAACATCTTCTCTGGGCACTGCTGAATGTGTAAGAGTCGGTTTCTAAAGGGACTGCCTTACAGAGTCCCTTTAGAAAGCTACAGTTTCCAAACTGTGTAAGGGAGTTTAGAAACATACAGAGTTTACCAGTAGCCACCAAATCTTTTACTTCAAGGGATTTTTGCTCCTAACATTTATCTTTTAGGGGAACTTTTTCAAGTGAAAAATGTGTTTTTGTTTTGTGCAGTGTCCCTGCACCTCAGAAGTCTGAGGGTGATCGTCTTATGGAAACCGTAGTGACGGAAACAGTGTTTGTCTATGAACAATCCAGGATGCCTCTTTCCGACCTTGGCTGTGAGGTTGAGAGTCCTTTTACTGTATCAGACTCTGAAACCACTGAAACCATTGCTACCGAAGACGTTGCTGAAAGTGTGATAACAAATGCTGATAACGTGCATCCCAGTATCAGCGGTCAGCACAAGGTCAGGAAAATATCCTTGGATACTGAAGATGAATACCTTGGGCATTGTGAGTCTGAAGAAAGTAGAGACAAAGACAAACCAGGAAGACCAAAAGAACCTGTACTCTTTGCAAAAGGAGATCCTTCGTATATGAAAGGGTCTCCCGAGAGTGAAGAGAAATTATGGCAAGCTTCCTCTGTGAAGTCTGACATTGAATGTAGTCCTAAAAAAATTGTATGTCTAGGTGTTACAGATAAATGCCAAGATACAAAGGACATTTCTAATAACTATGTAGAGGTACCACCTGTTAATGACTCTTCTATTCCAAAGCTGGATAAAGTTCTGGAGAGTCAATTCCCCAGACAAAATGAGGGGCTGAATAATAAAAAATGCAAAGAGGATAATAGGCAAAAATACGAGGAGAAGGTACAGGACTCCAAAAAAACTGACAAAGAGCACTACCGAAAGAAGAGACAATACTCTGACAGTAAAGACCGGAAGCAAAGCAGGAGCAAAGCGGATGATCGTTCCTACAAAAGGAGGCGCTCTTGCAGCATGGAAACAAATAAGCAATATCATCATAAGCAGGATTATTGCAATGAAGGCAAGTACAGACCTTCCCATCATGAAAGAAACAGTCCAAATAATGGCAAAAGCTCAGGAAAATACTCTCGTTATAAATCCCGAAGCAGAGAAAGAACGGAACAAGACAGGAATAAGTATTACCATTCCAAAGGAGAGAGGACTTGGAACAGGGAAAGATACTACCAAGATGAATTACGGAGATGGGAAAAATGCAGATATTACAAGGATTATTACTCTGTTCATGGAACAGGTGATGGTAGAGAGAGGAAGTCCTCTCATTTTGATAAAGCCTTTGACAAATTGAGTCAATTCTACAAATCACGTAGGGATTATCACTGCAAGAGCAGATGGGCTCACAACACTCACTCCAGAGAGGAAGGAGCCCATCACTTGAGTAGCCACAGAGAGAACTTCCGTCACTGTTCAGTACCTCAGCAGTCTGAAAAACACTCTCGGGAAGGGCACGCACCTCCACCTGCCTCAGCTCATGCACGATTTGACAACTCTTTCTGGGAAAATGAGAAACTGAGGCTTGGCAAGAGGAAATACGGCGATGCAGAAGGAAGCGAAGCTGAAGTGGGAAAGAAACGCCGCAAGATAGATGACCAAAGAAAGAAAAAAGAAGGTCAAGAAGAAAATGAAGTCCAAAGAAAAATATCAAGAGAAGGATTACAAGTAAGCAGGGATTCCAGCATAATCTGCCATTTTTTTCCTAACTCTTTTCTGAATGTTTCCCATGCCTGCCTTTTTCCCATTGTTTCTAAGTGATTTATATAGGATAATCTGACTACGGGTTGGTCATTAGGTTGGTCAAGCAAACATAGGAGGGATGTTGCTGAATAGCTTTAGAATGCTAGATCTGGAGCACAAAGCGAAGAACCTGTCGTGGTTTAAGCCCAGCCTGCTGAACCCAGGACAGAACCACATCTGCGCCTGTTCCTGATTAGGTTGCAACAATTACGTATTTTTAATTCCACATATTCCACAATTAGCCCCTGTAAGGATTTGTGTACAAACCAAGACTTACTGTCATTCAGTCTGACGGCTAATGTTTGTTGCATCTAAAGTCTTATAGGAAGAAATTAAATGCCTTGCACCCCACCACACAGGTCAGGGGCATTACGATTAGTGCGCTATCTGTGTAGGCATAAGAGATGTTAACCGATAAACACAGTGATAGAACCCCACTTTGATCCACTGCTTGCAACACAAGTGGGATATGAGGGCTGTGAAAAGCAGTCTTTTAAGTCTGCAGAATTTTAGTATTTCCTCAAGTCCATAGATGTTAAGGAACTTCCTCTTGTGGAACGTCCGTCTTTAGAAATACTAAATAAATGGGTCCCAAGTAGGAATTTCTGGATAACGGAATCTCTCTCAAAAAAAGGCCACCGCAGCAGTGTGTTTTTAAAGAGCCTGGAACCTCTCAAACAGGCTAGGGACAGACAACAGCTGAGAAGGAATTGTTAGGTTGTGCCTTTTCACCAGGACTCCCCAGTAAATTAATAAGGATGGAAAGGGCTTGTGATAATGTGTGATTGAAGGAAAATGGAGGTGGGATGGGAGACGGAGCAGCTTTAAAGCAGCTGCTTCCTACATTCCTACAAATTCTCTCCAGCAAGTTTCTACAGGCTTCTGAAGGCTTAGTACGTAAGATCTGGTGAGCTTGAACCAGATCTGAACACCTTGGTAAAACAAGGATGCTGTCTAGACAAAACCTCACCTAAATTTACCTAAGCCTACCACTTGCTATGAAAGGAGGTAGCTTTGTCCTAATACTGTGTACAGTTCGCCCACCTTAGCGTAGATCCAAAATGCAGTTGGTTGGGATGTGAGGAAGCCACCTTCTCGAGTCTGTCGGATCCTGTAGTCACAGAGCAGACGGAGCTGCGTGCAGGCTTGAGACTTGTCGTTCAGAAACCAAACCACTGAGACAGGGTTTGACGTTGAATGTCATGACAGGGAGTGACACTGCTTTCTTCTGTCTTTCAGATGCAAAGCTCACTGATGGAATCCTTCAGTACCTGAACTAAACCTACCAACAAATCCCACTACTTCTTACCATCAAAACTGAGTCTTTACCATCAATCCTGATGGTTTACCATCGAACCTGGCTGTTTACCATCAAGAATGACTCTTTACCATCAAACCTGTTTACCATCGAACGTTGGCTTTGCCATCAAAACTGACTCTTTACCTCCAAGCCTCGTTGCTTACCATCAAACGTGACTGTTTACCATGGAACGTGGCTTTACCACCAAACCTGCTTACGATCGAATCTGGCTTTACCATCAAAACTGACTCTTTGCCATCAAACCTGTTTACCATCAAACCTGGCTTTACCATCAAAACCGACGACTCTTTGCCGAAAAAAACTATGACTCTTTATCTTCAAACTGGACTTTATCGATACTATCGAAACTTAGAATTTATTATTGAAACATTTACCGTCAAGGCAAAATCCATCTGTTTTAATTCCATTTTCTTAATATACCGTCACTTGTCTGAAGTCTCAGTTGTCTGGTTTTGTCTCCCTAAAGTGGCTAGCTAAAGACAAATTCATACTGTGATTTTAATTTTGATTATTAAATGCTGTCAAACTGTGATGCACTTCATAGTCACTGGTCCTGCATCAGGAGACCAGTGAGTGGGAACCTCTGTGAAATACAGTTCATCTGACTAATCTGTCTGGTTAATGAATCGACTTGAGGAGAAGAGATCTGAGTTGTTCCCCCACTTGCCTTATATTTGACTGAAGCTCATGGAAGGCAACGGGCAAAATCCCTCCTTAATTTAGGGTGGGAAACCAGCTGTTAATGGAGTAACATTCATAGCAACACAGCTATGAGTGTTCAGCCTTACAAAAACAACCGATTTTGCAGCTGAGGAGTTTTCTCTCTGAAAAATTCAACCTGTCAATTTAAATCAGTGTGCTTAAAGGTAGGCAAAGAGGCCTTTTACTTACAAGAACAGTTGCAAAATCAGATCTTAACCTCTTAACTAAATCAGCACATTTTCTATTCAAACTGTAGCTAGAAACATTTTACAAGGAAATGCAGAAAAGGAATTTGTAAGCCAAAAGTCTTAGTTTGTAGGATTTGGTCTACAAGAGTCTTAGCTTTTCCAGCCAGCATATCTACCTAGGTATGTACTAAATCTTAAAAATATGTATAGTTTTCAAACACTAGAAAGCATTATAAATGCTGCTCAGTTGACAGAGGTTCTGTTTTGTACCAGTTTAAACAGGTTCAAAATGTGAAGCAACGTAAAGCTTATTTTGTCAGAATAGTGTCAGTTTTAAGTCAGTCCGGCTGAGCTGAAGTTTCCCGTGCATTTCTCTGCCTGCACTGCACTGGCACCGTGGCTGATGGAAGCAGCCACACAGTTCAGATGCTGAGCGAAGCCGCCTGCCTGGCTCTGGCTGGCCCCTGCAGCTGCAAAGGGCAGCATTGAAAACCGGGAGCAGAAGAACTGCACGCGTTTCAGTGCAACAGGAAGGGAGAAATTTGTCGTCCCCAGAGGGCTTTTCCTCAGCACGGCCAACCTCTAACAGGTGCTGCTTTAGGCCACTGAGCAGCCAGTCTGTCTGAGTAGCTACCCCTGGACTTAAAGCCCAATAGTAAAAGGGAAAAAAAAAGGTTGAGAGTTTTTTTCTTCACCCGTGGTTATCTTATCTTGCACAAGCTGTGTCCGGTGACTGTTTGAGTACGTGATTTCACATTTTTTGTTGCCTAACATAAATCTTAATAAACAATACCTTTATTCTTAGTTTCTTACACCTAATCTTTACGTTGGACTTAACATAAATCTTAATAGACAATACCCTTATCCTTAGTTTCTTACACCTAATCTTTACATTGGGCTTAACATAAATCCTAATAAACAATACTCTTATCCTTAGTTTCTTACAATCCCCCCTTTTTCTTTTTATCCTATTATTGTTTATTAGACGCTACTTTCATTCTCGGTACTGCAAGCAATCCTTTTTCCACACTCCCAACATTTATCATAACACTTACAATGCAATATCTCGCAATTACAAACATAGTTTTTACGTGGCATAACACATTCACAATAATCTTCATTCTCATTATCTTCATCCTCATTAATAGATACGCTCTTATATTTTGCTCCAGACCTCGTGGTTAAAATAAGCAGTTTAGCTATGTCAAACTGTTCTCTAATAAAGTGTAAAATATAGCGTAATATACAAGGCCCAAATATAAGTCCCAAGATCAACATAATAAGCGGTCCTGCTAAAGCAGACAACAAAGTGGTTAGCCAAGGTGAAACCTTAAACCAGTTTTCATACCATGACCTGCCCGCCTCACGATCTTTCTTACGTTGATCTAACCTTTTCCGGAGTTCAGACATGGTGTCTTGGACTATCCCCGTATGGTCAGCAAAAGAACAACATTCTTCATTGAGAGCTACACATAACCCTCCCTCCTTTAAGAACAATAGATCTAATCCCCTTCTATTTTGCAGTACTACTTCTGATAAAGACTTTACTGAAGTGGCTAAATTTTGGATAGATTGTTCTATTTTTGCTAAATCCTCATCTACAGCCATCTGCAAACTTTGTAATTCCTGACCTTTTACTAGGGAGGCTATGCCTGTGCCTGCTCCAACTCCACCCGCTATCAGCAGTGTAGCTAAAGTTACCACTGTAATTGGCTCTCGTTTTTGTCTATTCAGGTCTCCTTCAAAATGGTGTAACACCTCCTCAGAGGTGTGATAGATCAGACGAGGAACAATAATCACCTGTACGCAAAACTGAGATTGATTAAACACTTTTAGGGATAGGCAAGGCGTTACTCCGATGTCTGAACAAACCCATTTAGCTCCTGGTGTCAGGATAGCCCATTTGTCATTTTTATTCTTGTGTTTCTCTATAGTGTGTTTTTCTATAGTGATTGCTCGGTTGCACAAAGGTTGATACTTTTTGGGCACTGTACCTATACATTTTCCTTGACCTGTTACTAATTGAATAGTAATTCCTTGCATATGGTTCCTCTGGTCATTCCATGGGCATTCTCGTGGGTTTGAACCATTAGACCATTGAATCCTACCTGGTTTTCCAATTGCCTCAAAATATGGTGGCCTAACACTATAACATAACCAACATTCCTCAGTTAAATTTGGTTTGCTTTCATTAAGGGCACGATAAGAGGCTTGCATTAGATTCCATAAGGGGTCTTTGGATTCTGACAACTCTAGATCCCTGGATACAATGCCATTAGTTGTTTTCGAAAGGGAGTCTGGAGAAGTGGGTGCGACACTTGCGGGGGCAACCTTTTCTTCAGAGAAAGTGGGTGGATTTAGGACCAGATTTGGTCCTACTGGTAAAGGATCATGAGGAAGCTTTTCTTTAATTATTCTAAAGCAACTTCCCCTATCTGCTCCTGATTCCCAATATCTAATTCCCCAGATGCGGCCAACTAACCATGTGTCATCTTGGGGTTCTTTTATAATGATTTCAATTCTGGTACAGGACACGGACACGCTGCCACAGGGTCTTCTAGGGTGTCCATCAAAATCATGCTTTGGGGGAGTGCAGCCTGGGGGTCCCCAAGTTACATCTATATATTTATCTCCCCGCGTTTTCCAATTTGAAGCAATAGTTTCACAACCCCAATAGCCACAGTAAAAATGACCTGGATAATTACAATAACTTCTGCCAGGGTTACTTGCTG